GAACAAATTGAAGATAGAAGCCGATTGGTTGCTATGGGCAACTGCTCCAGTATTGATAAATTCCCCTCATTGTCTTATGATGTACCTACTCAATTGAACTTATGTGCTCTGTGGGTGTCTTCTTGTCATTGTCATGTCTTCTTCTCCTCCCTACTTTCCTGTTACCATTCCTTATTCTTTTCCTTGGTAGCTATACTCTCAATTTTTTTAGCACTTTTTCTCCCTTTCCTTTACACGTGTCTCCATTTATTACTGCACCAGTTTACCTTTAATTGTCTTTGTATCCTGTTAGCCAACTAGTAGATTATGTACTCTTAAAGCCTTAACGTTCTTATAGGACACATGCCTTTGGTTTACTTGGTACTCATGTTATTTTCTCATTATGTCCTTTTCTCATTACAACCCAGTTGGTTGTTGTTTTGCACTATTCTGTTTGAGTTCTCTGCCACTGTTCCTACGTTTGTTGTAAAACTTAATAAAAAGATATTTACCAAAAAAAAGTGAGATCTGCACATTTAGATCACCATGGTACAGGAACTCCAAATTACCCCCGACTCTGCCATCATTATGCAGAACAAGTGCTCTGGATTGGGACCACTATGTGGAGGAAACTGAAGAGCCGTCAATACCCCCAGGGGTCATGCCCTACTTGGCCTGAATACTCTGAATTCAAGAGTTTCAGATATCAGTCCAATTGCTTCAATGTAACCCCCAATATACAATTTATGTTTTAGTCTGATTATCATTGTTTTGCCTTTTTTTATTTTTAACAACAATCTTGCATAGTCTGTCTTGAATGATAATGCAAAAGACTAGATTAGCGTTAGGTACATATTTTATATTTAAATGCATAGACATGAAAAGCAATGTAGGAACAGGTAAAAACGTATTCGCATTTGTTCAGTTCCCGCATCCTTGTTTTATCAATGCAGACATAACTATAATCTGTTGCCGTCATTAATTATGATATGACAATTCCTTCAAGCAATTCGTTTTCAGCAGCATGTGGTACTGCAGGCAAATTCTGTCTCTACCACTCCTAGCACAACATGTAAGATTATGGTAAGCAGTAGGATCATCCTTATTACTACAGGGAGAGGTCAAAAGCTACAAGACAGTCCAAAACAAACCCTTTTTGGATTTTTCATAAAGACACTAGTACTTCGCAAATTATTATTACATTTTGTAAACAAAGACACACAAAGTATTTCTAATAATACATTTTATTGTCTTAAAAAGTTAGTGTTTCATTTTCCAGTTCAAGTTCTTAAAATTACAGGAATAATTCTATGGTTAAATAAGTTAAAAAAGACAAATAAAAAAAAAGAAGTTGAACAATTCTTCCTTCTGAACAACGAAATGATATCAACAATATGAATGTATTGGCTAATACTGATCTTTGACTTAAAACAGTTTTAACAAAACGCATTCCCATTTAACCTTCAAGATGCAATCTGTAGTGTAAATGTTAACATCTAAAATCTGAATTTAAAGATTAAAACTAATGTCTTAAAACAGCAAACGGGGCTGACATTTTCCATAATAGCCTTTAAGGAAAGAGCCTCTTCTCATGAAGCCATAAAGAATCTCAATGACATGAAATCTGAAAATATAGTATGGGGTTACTGGACAGCTGATTTATTCCTCGATATAGGCCAATTAAAGAAACAAAGGCAATGTATTTCTACCAGTGGTGAAATGTTTCCGGGCTATACACTACTGTTAACTGATCAACCTGTCAGTGCTTCACCACACAGAAACCTACCATGTAAATGTAAGCCTTAACATCTGTACTCCAAAACATTATAGGCCATTCATCTACTACAGATAGAGGTGATAATCAACAGGACACTGGTAATGCCATGCACTATATAAGATTATGGGAGTATATTTTACATTTTCATCTTTCCCAAAAAAATGCATATTCGTATCCTTTTTTTCAAAAGGAGTGGCTTAAAAAAAAATCTAAGGAAAAAACAGTGCTATGTACAGCAATCAATGTGATGCTAAATTCCATAGTGCAAACTAGAACATCAAAGTGGGACGCTGATCCAAGTAAGGCCCCTGCCAGTCAGACCCAATCAGATGCCCAATGCAAGTCTATCGGCAGCTGGATCTAAACAGACAGGTCCCAATTTACATCCAATTGCCTCCAGCTCCATAAAAACAAACAGAATAGTGTTCCGTTTCACCGGACCGGAGTGTGCCAGATTGGGGGTAATCTGATGTAAACGGACAGAAGTCCATTTACATCCGATTCCCTATAGACCGACATCGGGTCTGGTCATTTCAGGTTTTTTTCCTCCATCACAAGATGGAAGAACAAACTGGATGAACATGGATGTCACCTCTGATCCATACCTCTCCGATCATCTAAATCGGACAGGAAAGGGGCCTACCACCACAGGTTTTACTCTTTGTTTTGCAAACAAACTTCTAGAAGAGAATATTTAAAAGGAGAACTATGAGGCGAGTGAAAATCACTCAGCCTCATAGTTCGAGCCGACGTGCGACAATAGAACTGTTACACGTCGGCTCAAGGAATTGGGAAGTGAGCGAACACATACCGTCGCTCGCTCACTTCTCGATCCTGTCCCTGCAGAGAGCCGTGACCGTCACTCACGGCTCTCTGCAGGAACCCGCCCCTATCCGATCCTCCAGCGCTGACTGGTGGAACGGACAGGGGAGGGGGCGGGTACAGCTGACTCTGCCTCTAGATAGGCAGAGCCTGCTGTCGATCGACAGTAATGTCGGGATCCGTCCCGGCTGCGGCGGTCTCAGTATACCGCGAGCTGCAGCTCGCGATATACTGAGCTTTGGGTCATGGGAGGACGCTAGCTTGTGTCCTCCCGTGACCCCTAGGAGAACTATGGGGAAAAGCACTGACCCCATAGTTCTCCTTTAAATACTTGGTACACCGATTTCCTGGCGGTACACGATAAACATATTTACCGTTAACTTAGTTTTGTAGTACATTGGCATGTTCATTCATTCCATCAGCTCACCAGTTTCGGCATGCCATGTTTGAAGGATTACAAAAAAAAAAAAAACAAGAACAGCTGGCACAAAACAAAAAAGACAGACCTCCAACAAGTGCGAGGTAGTGTGCGATCCATTGGAAAGGAATGACCAGGGGCCTTCCTAGTACCACACTCTAGTTGTTTCCAAAGTTAATCACAGATAATTGCTGAATTACATAAAAATAAAGAAACATGCTAATTATTAACATGCATTCATTTAAACAATGCAATAATGATGCAGCAATTAAAAACGTTCACAGAATGAACCCTATGGCAGCCTATCTTTTAAGTTCTTAGTAAGACTTTGTAAGCACTCGTAAGATCTTAAAAAGCAAGAGGACGATTGGTAGAAATGCATTTCAAATTGAAATCCCATTGTTATATGGCTAGTATATGGTATGTGCTGCAGCTTTTAATGAAAATAGGACATATAGAATGTTTGTACTTTCTGCACATTAGGCAGGCCCCTTGAAATAAATGGCAAACACATAAAACACGAGAACTATACAGTCGTGTGTTTTTAAGGCATCTTCACCATAAAAGAACCTGAATATGAAGGTTTCTCCCTCACCATAAACTTTTAAAAAGTGCATTCAAAACTCAGGAAAAAAAACATATTACATAGAAATGAAAGACACTATAGGCTAGGGTTACACATTGGGGGTCAATTATCAAAAGGGTCTTAATGCTTGCAGTTGCTCATGTCTCTTCTCTTACTCTAGATTGTTTTTATCTGTATGTCATGTCTGAAGTTAAAATTTCATCACAGCAAAAAAGAGCAAATAAGTTGCTATTTAGCTGAACTATCAAGCAAAGATTATTGCTCAAATTTTTCATGCAAAATGCAAATTAATTGATAAGCAACTGCTTTAATAATCAGTTGGTGTCTGGTGTAGAGGGGGGTCATGTCAGTACAGACAATGCAAATGAGGTGGCTTCTCTGTGCCTACCGCAATCCCTATTAATATCACTTGAAGGTATGGGTTGGTCCAAAGCTACTACCTTGCCAAGGGCCCCATTCTAACTTTACCTGTTTCTGGCAGAGTCCATTCATTTCTGCAATCATTGACCACATCTCCTCAGATTTTTCACTAGTAGATGATATTTGAAGAACTGATGAAAGTAGTTCATATCTTAAGGGGATGTCAGACACTTTTACTGCTGCCGCCTTTTTTTTTTAAACTAATGAGTCATGTAGTAACACTCTGAATCAAGCAGCACGGTCAAATGCCAATGTTTTTCCACAAAACTTTGCAAGCAAAGTCTTAGTAGCGTGTCCCACACTGAGAAATGCTTCAGTGTAACTGAATATAAAATTCCATTGCCCGGTTCGATAGAATATGACATAATTGGAAAAGAGGGCCGTCAGAACTACCACTGCGACTGAAACCATTTCAATATCATTTTCAGATGGAGGCTGGCAATGGCGACCCCCATATTTCTCTGATGACCGAGTCACTTTAATAGGATGGGGCATGCAGCAATGAAAATACTCGTGCAATAACCCATAACATTGGATTTCAGTTTAACGCAACTGTATCAGAGAAGAGTAATTCGGATCAGTTGCTATAGTGTGCTTCACTTTGATTAGTATTATCAAAGAAGCATTGAAGCATTTAAGGTCTTCAATGTGCATTCAGTGTAAAAAGGCACAACTGGTGTGAATCTGTTTTAGGTCTTGCTGAAAAAAGTAACACTGGGTATTGCTGCCTTGTTGCCAACTGCTAAACTATCACTTAAAACTATTACTTAGAATCAAGGTAAGGTTTTCCAATCAAAATAGGAAATCACTACAGTCAGAATATGCATTAAATCTCCCAGTAAGAGGAAGATGTGGAACCTTTTGCCATAGCTCCACATAGGTAATGCGATAGAAATGCACATTGAAAATGGTACTTCCATGTATCCTGGAAAACTACTATGTGACCATAGCTGTGCAATGCAAAAAGGACAAGCCTTGACTTAATGTAAAGGTTTTTCCTCAATCAAAATGTCTGGGAGGACATCAAGTCTTCTGTGCTTAATATTGCTAGAATGGAGTCTAACTCCACTGTCCAGAAAAACTTATAGTCATCCATTTGATGCTGAAGGCTGGATGACTGATTATCATGCATAATATTAGAGATGCAGTGAACCGAAGACTATGGCTATAAATTTATCTAGGCGAAGAGGTCTTCACCGCGTTCTTATGCAAATCTCTGCCGTAGTCACAGTCAGTCCCTGTAAGCAGACTGGTGGCCAAGTTGCCTGTCATCATAGGTGCTGTATCTCTTGACATGTATGCGCCGAACCCGGTCACGCAGCTCAAAACCATCATCGTCTTCACTATGAGATGCTTGGCTGCGTGTACGGCTTGTGGCCTCCAACAAAGAGTTGTCAGGGACTCGTGGAGTTTCGTAAAGCAAAACATTTAACGTCTCTTCATAAATTCGTGCTTCAGGAAATTCAACCTAAGGGGAGATACAAAGAAAATATTCTTTTATTTGTACTGCACACCTAACCCTCAGTATACAAATAAATGAAGGCATTAACCACTGAGCTATAGTCAGAAGTCTACTTAAATTACTTTTATACAGAACTAATGAGAAACAGGCAGAAATATAAATCTAGTTATAAATCCTTAAATGCAGTTTTAAAATAGCAGGGCACATACCACTGGCTTAATAACATTCCTGCATGGCAGGGAGAGAATAAGGTGTTAGGCAATGAGGCTTTACAGCATTGTACAAACCACTTGTTGATAAAACAGAGATGACCTCATTAGTGTGTTCATTTTCCTATACTGATAAAGCAAGTCCATGATCAAACCGCAGTGCTTTAACTACAGTGAAAAAAAAAGTGCACGCTAACAAGGGGTGGGGGTCAGTGGATCATCTCGCCACCCACTCTCACTCTAGATCTGACTGGGAACACCGGCCAGAGCGTCCCACTCACCTCCTGGCAACTGGAGACATCACTGGATGCCAAGAGCTGCGGGGACCGAAAGTCAGAGTGTCTTGCTCAACTCCTGGCAACCAGTGACGCCACTAGTTGCTGTATGGGACGCCAACCAGAGTGTCCCAGGTTGCCAAGAGCAGGCCATTACACATCTTCCCGCCTGGCTTTTAGCAGCCTGGGATGCGCTGGCCGAAAGGGGGTGGCAGGCACACTACAAACATTGTGCACCAGAACAGCCATGCCACTCTACCTGCCACCCCTCACCTGACCCAAAGAGATGCCGTCTGAGGCAACAGCCCCAGGCTGCCATCAACAACATACAACAGCTAAAGTCAGGCCCCTCAGAGCACAAGTAATGTTTTAACACATTTCATTTACTTTACAAAGAAATTAGGATATTACAATTTCTCCTTTTAACCAAAGTCCACTTTACCAACAATCAGATTTTATCAAATGCAATAGAAAGGGAAAAAAGAAAGCAATTACCTTTGTTTGCTTCTTCTCGGTGGCATAAACTATGGAGGTACAGCAAACTTCTGCCAATTTCCTCCCCTGACCATAGAAAGACCAGCAGCAGATTTCATCTCCGATCACATCCTTTATGAATAGGACTCGTCCATTGAATCGGAGGGAAAGCTTATCAAACAGCTCAATGTTTTTCAGAAGGTTGTCATCAGAGTTGCTGAAATACGTAACATTAAAGTTCAATTCATTACTTTTTTATTTTTGCTAAAAAGGGGGAATACTAAATAATTTATTTTCCATGAATAGAATCGGAATGGCATTTCCTAAAACCGATCTTTCACTTATTGACTTATATAAACCCCTGCCCCAAATAGCAATTCCAAATAATTTATTTTTGCATTAAACCCCCCCCCAAAATAAAAACTGTCAACAAAGAGGCTGATTACTTGCCTAGGCTAATTCAGTGGCCTGGAAGTTACAGTGGCTACAGACATATGAGACCTTTCACCCAAGGGCTAGATGCAGGAATGATAATATGTTTATAAGCTTTTCCAATGTCCTTCTAGGGAGGAGTTACCAGGAATGAATGGTTTTCTCAGCTGATTGCTCTTCCACCCCACATAGGGGAATACGTAAACACGCTCATCAGATGCAAAACATGCATGGCTGTAGAATAATCATTCATTAAACCCTTTACGACCGCCTCATACATATATGTGGTGTCAAGTAAGTGGGCTTTCTTCCTGGGCACCACATATATACACACACGTGTTTGTGCTGGAAGCGCATCTGCAACACGAAGACTGAGCTGTGGCCAACAGTTTCTGGTCTCGTACTAACAATCAAGAGCTGGGAGGACTGGCTCCATATCACAAGATCAATGATAACTTGTGATTAGCAATCACAGTGATCACTAGCTGTAGAACCCTACCCAGCTCTTTCCAGAAAGGAAAGAAGGAAAGGAGAGAAAAGAGGAGAAGAATAGAGGAGAAAAGAAAGACAGAAAATAGTCAGTCATTTGACTGCTCACGCAAGCATTGGGTGGATGCCGCCTTGTGTCTGTAGACACCTCAATGTGTATTTCCACTTTTGCAGTAGAAATTTAGAAAGCCCCCATTATATGTGTTCCTATTCACACAGCATATCCAACAATAATTGTAATAAATACATTTCTTACCTTTTAAATATCTCTATTTAGCAGGCCTTTGCATGCACCTCTCTCAATTTAAAATACAGGAAACTCGGTCCTAAGACTTCAGGACAGACTAGAGCTGCAGCTAACGATTATTTTCAAAATCGATTAGTTAGCCGATTATTAAGTTCGATTAATCGGTTAATCGGATAAACAATAAAATACATTTTTTAAAATGGCTCCAGTGATGGACTACTAGTTTGTTTTGAGATTGTAGTCCATCACAGGAGCCAGCTTTGGAGCGGTTAGAGTAAAAAAAAAAGTGTGGTGTGCAATATAGTGAAATGGAAAGTTTAAAATTATACAGCAATCAATGCAGAATGGCACCGGCTATAGGACTACAAATCCCAGCAATAGTTCATTATACAGCGCAATGCAGAATATCACCAGCTATAGAGGAGCACAACAAATCCCAGCAATAGTACATTATAGCTGGCGGTATTCTGCATTGCGCTGTATAATGTACTGTTGCTGGGTTTTGTAGTCCTCTATAGCTAGTGGTATTCCGCATTGCACCGCTGTATAATGTACTATTGCTGGGTGTTGTTGTAGTCCTCTATAGCTGGTGGAATTCCGCATGGCGCTGTATAATGTATTATTGCTGGGATTTGTAGTCCTCTATACAGCGCAGTGCAGAATATCACCAACTATAGAGGAGTACAACAAATCCCAGCAATACATTATTCATACAGTGTATAATGTATTGCTGGGATTTGTATTCCTCTATAGCTGATGGTACATTGTGCTGTATATTATACATAGGAATACAAATCCCAGCAATACATTATAGAGCACCATGTGTGGGAAAGTGCAGGCTTACCTGAGCAGTCTTCCAGCAACTTGCTTCTGAGATCGGGCCTGTCTATCGGCGGCTGTCATCCCCCCACACCTGCTCCTCCTTACTACATCTCCCCGCGTCCCTGTGCCGATCGTGGATGTGGGCGGGCGGTGAGTGTGAGGCGGGGAGGAGGTGCGGCGTGAAGAGCGTGGATGTGGGCGGGTCTGGCAGCGGCGAGCGTGAGGTGGGGAGGAGGTGCGGCGCGCAGCGTGTGTGGAGCCGTGAACAGGGCCAACTGATCGGAAGCCGATTAATCGATTATTGAAAAAGTTGACAACTTTTTCAATAATCGATTATGTCGATTAGTTGTTGCAGCTCTAGGACAGACAGACTCATTAACATACAATGGGGGAATTTTTTTTAGAAACTGGAGAAGACAAAATCTGGATTGCAACCAATCAGCTTTTCTGTGTCATTTTCAAATCTTACCTGAGCAAACTGTAGAGAGAAGCCGATTGGTTGGCAACTGCTCTAGATTCTGCCTGTTCCAGTTTTGCTAAATTCCCCCCCAATGTCTTCAGGACTTTAACTCTTTGCTAGGACAGACAGCCCTGCTCATCTAGTTTACAAGTGATAATTAAATCTGTCAGCACAGTACAGACAGTGTTCATTATATGAAACAGAACTTCCCCCTAACACAACCCCCCTCCCCCGTCATGGAGTTAGCACAATGAACATATAAAAAAAGGTAAGCTGCAAATTAAAATTTTATTTAAAGTTATGCTATGTGAATTAGAAACATGTAACACATATAAAATCAGTGTTATCCCAATGTGACTGCATACATGGAAATATACTAAAGTGTATGTCTGGGCAAAATAACATTTTGCACCAAAACACATGCACTACACAGATGTTTTTTCCTTGAGAAACATTTTTTTTTTTATAGAATATCTCTCTATTATTTTCCAATATATACACGCTATAAACATGCAGACATTATTGTTAAGAGACCACCATATAATATTCCGCTAATATTAAAAGCATTATTCCCTTTAAGGGTCTCAGCTAGAATGAAGCCAAAAGAAAGAACTGGGGAAAAAACAACATAAAAACCCTCCAAACCGAACCAACCCCGCCCCCAAAAAATACAAAGCAACAACTCCCATTCTCCTTTCCCCTCGCTATCCCTCTCCCCCCAGTGACCGTACGGCTGTGCCTCTTATTCGCTATACGCACATAGTAGCACTACCAAAAGTCTATCCAAGGGTTCCATGTTACCAGAAATTGTGGGTACCTATCCTGCGATCGTGCAACTAACTCTTCTACCCTTCTCAAGAAGTTCATTTCTTTGACCTAATCTTTAATTTGCAAAGTATCTTGAGCCCTCTAATATCTAGCTATTACCGTTCTTGCAGCGAATAAAAAATAATTGGAATAGGCCTTTCTTGACTTCTTTAATTGGACCTGGTATGATAGCCAATAGCGCAATCTCAGGTGTAAGAGATCCCTGGACATTAATTAGATGTACTCCTATCTTATAAACCATTTCACAAAAAGGTTGGATCTCCACCACATATGTACCTTTTTCTACTCCACATCTCAAACATCGGTCAGATATGTTTGGAAAGATCTTAAGTATTGAGGAAGGACATCTGTACCATCTTGTCAATATCTTTAAATTGCGTTCCTGGATGTAACTCGATATACTTGATTCAAACGTTAACACAAAAGATTGTTTCCATTTATCTTGTGATAATCTATAGCCCAATTCTGCTTCCCATCCCCTCACATAGAACGGTCTATCAGAGAAACCTTGGGTCAAGAGGATATGATATATCTTTGATAATTTATGTTTACTATCCTTTGGTTCATACACAAATTCTCAAAGGAGGTCATATCTTGTAATATGATGTTTAAGCTGAAGGTATGCAAACCACTGTCCCCGTTGAGAACCACCTTCTGGGATTAATAAAGAGAAAGGATATATACCATGCTCTGAAATTGCTTGAATAACAGGAGCTGGTTCCGCTGTACCCTGACGGAAAATCTGGATTACTTAATATAGGGGTAAGAGATCCCACGTAGTCCGATATATTATATGGTTTTACTGTCCTGTCCCAAATTGTTATTAGTGTCCTAACTAATGGAGGTAGAGGCCCCTGTATCAGCCTTTTCTGGGGCCGGATACATGGGACTGCAGTCAGTGTTAAGGGGTAGCTGCTTGTTCAATAGATAGCCACAATTAATTTCTAGTAGAAGAAAACCAGTCCGTGATGCGGGTTAGAACTGCTGCCTAGTAGTAAAAGCTCCATGTGTGGGAGACCTGCACCACCGTCCTGTCTATGCATTACTAATATATTGCATCTTAAATCGTGCCGGGGTACATCCCCAAACATATTAAATTATAGCTTATAGCTGACCTCAGGGTCCTTTTTATTACTTTCCAGACTTAACAGTCAAGAGATCAAAAATTACTGTACATGTAAATACAGAACACACCTGGTGTATGAATACTTGTTGTTGCTTCTATTATACAGGAGTTTGACCACAGGCTGTTGGGAAAACACAAAAATCACACGTTACCTAGCGCTATATAAAAGGGATTTATTTGCAATTGATATTGTAACTCTAATTTCAAGGAAACCTATGCAATAAAAATATAAAGTAAACAAAAACACACAAAAAGCAAAAAAAGGCACACACACAAGGCAGAACAAGGGGAAAAAGGTACAATGAACTCTAAATAAATATCTGTTCATAACCAGCCCTATATTACTACTACTATACTATACTATACTACTACTACTACTACTATACTCTCAGAAAAACTAGTTTAGATTGTAGGAGTCAATTCATGCAACAGCCCAATTTCAAGAAGTCAGAATATGAAAAGCTTTAAAAACTTAGAAAATAACTGTGATGTGTATTTTTTCTTTTTAACAATCAATGACTTCTGAGCCCTGCATACAGTTATTTCCTGTCTAGTTATTCTTCAGCCACAAAATGTCAATGATCATTTACAATGCTACAGATCTGTAGCCTTTGTATTCTAATTTAGATGAGCAACCCGTACGCAATATTTTAATATGCATACTCCCACTTGATTCAAGTTCAAGACCATTACAATAGGCTTGTTAACCCCTTATTATTCTGAAGGTATGTGACAGCTCAGCCTTTGTTCAGTGGTGAAAAGACTGATGAGATCTAGCCACATTTCTATGGGACTAGGAGCAAGCTAATCTAATTGCTAACTGGGACAATGCATGAGTGAAGTGTGCACCTTGGCAGATGATTCAATCAGTTTCTCTTCTTCTTTTGGAGATGTGATGATGGGGATATTACATACTGCTTCGTATGACTCATTCTTATCCTGAAAGTAAGAGAAATGGAGACAATTACAATAGAAAATCTAGAGCTTTGTTTGCAGCCATATACTCTGCACTGCAGCCTTATGATGTACTAAACAATGAAGCCAACAGAAATAGGGCCGTAGGAGAAGAAGACTGTGCTGAGAACCGCTGGTGGTCTTACATAAGAAGCGCTTTCAATGAGAAATGGAAAGCTACCATAAGCTATGTATATCCTTCTCAACGTGGAGGGTTTGCATTCTTCCTCATGAAAGAAATAAAGCCATGTGTGAAAAGATAATTAAAGAGTGCTATAACATTTCAACTTCTGCTTTCAAAAAAATCCAGGCAACATGTGAAATCATTCAGTGAACAGGTATTACGTTCCAGGAGACTATGAAGATACACATACATCAGAACTTCATTCATTCTACCTTAACCACTTGAGGGCTGACATGTCAAATCCCCTTAATGTGCCGGCTGTTTTCCAGTGCTGTGATATTCACAGACAATAGGGTACGCAATGCTGCACCAAATTTATTTTATATATTTTTTTAGACAGATTTTGAGAACAAAAGAGAACAAAAATGGCTTCTCGTGCCTTCTGTTATAAAACATAGCAAATAAAAAGGCCAGGACAGTACGAAAACCCCAGAAAGGACCCTGTTTTGGAACATAGACACCCCAAAGTGATCTGATTTTTGACACAATTTTTTGGAAATGAGGAAACATGCTTGTACTGAAAGGTTAAAACATGTAGCTTAGTAATTGTATCTAGTGCACTACATACAATACATTTACAGGTTATACAGGGAGGAGGAGATGAATGGGTATGAAGGGGGTTATTATGCAAATGCACAGGATAAGGGAGGTAAAGAGTTAATATACAAGTCAGATCAGAGACAGGATGGTGCTGACATATACTGTAGAGGGGTGAATGGGCACTGGGTGCTTATTTACCAGTGTCATCCAGTACCAGGTGGTTGCAAGCAGCAAGCTCTTTTTTCTCACACACTGATCGAAGTATGATAAGAAAGTGAGAGCCGGCTTCTAACAGCAGCCATTGTTTGCAATGTGTGATGCTGTGACTGGTCACAGTGATCACATGGTACAGAGACACTCACACTGGCCTGGAACACTCTTTTTACAATCTTCACTGTCCGGTAAAAAAAGAAAGAACATTTTAAAACATTGTCTCACCCTGGGAGGCTTGCTGTCCATCCATTTATGCAGAATGGGTGCAAGGCAAGTGGTTAACCTGGGCTCTATTTAAAGGACCAGCAGTTTAAACAGGGTTTTCATAGGGCGTCTGTTCAGGACTTCAGCCTGCAGGCTCCTTCTAGGCAATCTGTGCTGTTTAGGGGCCCTGTGATTTGTGGTAATGTGTATTTTACATTACAACCTGAATGATGATAGGAAGACCGTACAATGCAACAAAACTCACAACCTGCATTCATTCTAATCTCCAGTTTCAGCCCCGATGTACAATCCTACCTTTACTGCGACTATCAGTTACTAGTGTTCCCAATGGGCCTATTTCTAGATCTGGTGTAGTAACATGGAAGTGACAATATCATCTTCTTTACAAGAGAATGTCATCATCTCAGTCTATGCCTGGACACTGACACCTCCATTGGTAAGTAATAAACCTGTCCAGTCGATTCAGTTTCTCCTTGATAAACCAGTGCTTGCAGTAATCTCCCCACTCAGACATTCACTTGCAAGATCAGTAAAGCAGAAATGACAAGTTTATGAAGTACTCAGAGCAGTCATAATGCATCTGCATGCCAGAATGCCTTATAAAATCAAGGGGAGAAAAAAAAAAAAAAAAGAAGAACTACCGAGGAGAGTCATCAGACATGCTCTTGTGCATTAGTGGGTTCAATAATGGATAAGGCATTATCAGGTAGTAGGAAATGGAAAGACTTCCTCAGATTAACTAAAGATGCATTGGGGAAAGGTAGGCTAGCCACACATATGACGGTCGATAGTCTAACCGCTGAAAGGACATTAAACAATAAAAATAAACACGCACAATCGTTTGGGCTCAACGTGAATAACCGTGCACTGAGCAAACACCCTGACAACAGCCTTTATTCAGGGTAATTGTAGTGGCTGATCGGAAAAATCTATTTCAAGTGATTATTTTTTTTTCCGGCAGACACCATCTTGCATCTATACTTAGAGTTACCGCCTTTCTTAAAGCCACAGGCACATATACATGATCTGGGAAGAAAATAAGTGGAGCCTCCTCCCTCCATGCATTTGCAAAGCAAGAGAAAGAGAAAACTGGCTTCTCAGTTTTATCTAGGAGTGGCAAACTCTGGACAGAGTTCTGGAACCCAGAGTCTTTGCAGCAACTTGAGTGGGATAAAGCCTCCAACCCTGGGTTCATTTTGTGATGTTGACCAGCATCCATTGATTGTGCAGCTGTGCACATCCCTTGAGGCAGGGGTACAGGGGTGTGGACATTTTTGAAAAAACTACTTGTCCAAGGGCTAAAGCGGGGGCCAAATCTACTTGTCCTTCATAACAATCTACTTGTCCTGATACAAAAAAAAAATAGTTTTAATTAAAACTAGGGATGCACCAACAGCGGTTTTTGGGTATAGAGTACGAGCACCGATATTTTGCTTTCAGCACTCACTGAGTATCGGTGCTTCCATTTGCATGGAGCAGGCTTCCCGGGCAATCAGGAAGCCGTGCAGCGGGTAATGAGATGCTACCCGGCTTCCTGGCCAATCAGGAAACCGGGCGGCGAGTAATTACCCGATTGGTCAGGAAGCTGGCTCAATGCTGATTTAAGTATAGCCGGGGGGTGGGGGGTTTTGGGAGAGACCGGGCCAGATTCGATCGGGTAAATCCATTTTCCCATATTACCTGGGAAAGTGAACTTGCCCTTTAATGCACATTGTGCGTGTGAGAGAGTTCTGCTGCATCGCTACCACAATATGGCACAGTGAAATGGCGGCAGCACTCAAGGCACACACACAATGTCCTATGTGTGCGCTTATTTGCATGCAGATGGCGGGGGCATCAGGGTTGGTTTTCATTTTTTGTATTTTATTTTTTACATTGTCACTTTTTTTTTTATATATAATTATTTTTAACTTTGTCATAACTTTTTTTTTTATTTTTAACTTTTTTTCCCCCCACCTAATTTTATTCCTATCACATGGGGATTTAAAATCCTCTAAGTCAGTGGTCCCCAACCCCCGGGACCGGTCCGTGGATCAAATGGTACCGGGCCGCCCAAGGAACATTAAATTATTTCCATTTTATTTACTGTGGTGTATTTCTCTCGGGTTTGTCCGACTTTCCAGGACGAGAGGTTAACCGGTGGCTGAGAGACGTCACCTAAAGCCGCACCAATAGGTGACGTCTGGAGCTGAGCGGCTGCAGGGTTCACCGGTACTTTCTCATGTTTAACAGTGCTTGGTGTACATGTATATTGTGTTTGCGCAAATTTAACCCACAAATTAGCAAAAATGAGTACGAAACAGATGTCGTTAGAAAGTTTCCTTGGGAAAAAGAAAAGGCCCAGTGAAGAGACAGAAGGGCCTTCAACATCAAAGAAACATGTAACTTAACAGACAATACCATGAGTCCTACTTGAAATATGGATGTATCGGGACAGGTGATTCCCACACCAAAACCCCTCTGCATAGTTTGCGGCGACCAGCTCTCTAATGAGGCAATGAAACCTTCAAAACTGCTTCGCCACTTGAATGCCAGTTTTACCGCAGCAAAATTATCAAACGTTGACCGGTCCGCGGCGATAAAAAGGTTGGGGAGCACTGCTCTAAGTGATAGTTTGGAGGTGACAGGTTCTCTTTATGGAACCTGCCCTCCAACACAGAACATATGTTCTGTGTAGTTCCTGACAGCTGAGACAGGTGGCGCTGTGTGGACAGAATCGCCGCTTCTCGTTTCATTCAAGTGATCTGATAAATGATCAGATCACTTGAAAACGAGCGGCGGCTCCACACTGTACACTTAGCTCTGCTTGTCCGGAGCGGGGCTAAGTGTACAAAAAAACTACTCGCCCGGCGCCCGAAACTGCATGTCCCGGGCGTCAGGCGATAGGGATTCCACACCTCTGGGGTGTCAAACTCAATTTAATCGTGGGCCGCATCAACATTATGGTTGCCCTCAAAGGGCCTGTAAGGCTATATAAATGTATCTAATCTTTATCATAATTGCCTCTGCATTCGATTATCACTGGTTTTAGTAATAACTTAATACCTAGATCTGAAAGTAGAAGTCTAGGAAATGGCCTGGTGGGCCCAATTCGGCCCCTAGGCCTTGGGTTTGACACACGTGCCTTAAGGTATGGGGGCTGATGAGTGTTCAGGACTCCACATGGGAGACCAAAGAGGTCTCTGCCTGGGAGTCAGGGGGTCTTCATCCTGGAATTAGATGGAGGCCAGTGCAACAGGGAGCAGCAAGGTGTGTACCGAGAGTTCAGGTCAGCACGGTGTCTGAAAGACTATGTGAAGGAAAGAGACCAGGGCCTGAGGACAGAGGCCAGAGCAGTGGTGCTCCAAAGCCAGGAGGCTATAGCATGCTTATTTTGTGAAGAGAGATGTTGGACAACCCCTGCAAGAACAACTTCATTATTGTTTGAGAACTTTCAGTTAATAACAACCGAAAACCATTAAAATGCAGCCCAATTTCTGGTGTACATGGATTCATAAGGAACCAAATAAATAATGTCATTAAAGGGTGTTTTCTTCATACTTCTAGATACCAACCAGTAGCAGTAGTCAGAACAAACTAAAAAGAATTACTAACCTGCAATGCTGTCTGGCACTTGTCTACCAGCCCCTGAATTAGATAATATTTAGCTTCTGCCATAAGTTCTTTGATCTCGTGTCTGTTCTTGGGAAGTGCAATGGTGTCATCTCGCAGATAGTTCAGAATGGTTCCAAAATGCTTTCCACATCGGTCAATAAGAATCCAGCCTGTGAGTAAAAGACAGATGTGGAAGTTTAGGCAAGGAAAACATGAACACAAAAAGCTCACACAAAATGGATCTTTCAGTTTCGGATGAAGGACGGTGGTGAGCTGAATCAGCATCTTAGATATGCTGAGGACATTCAGCAGCAACATCTCCCCAACCCTGCTTCCATCCCTTTTAAATCTGCCACACTGTCACCTTTAACACTGCATTCTCTGTATTGTACAATAATTTGGGTACAAAGATCTTAATGCACAATTCCCTAAAAGAAAATCGTTCGTAATTTGACCTGCCAAATTCTACCCGAAACCGACATACCTGGGTAGAATAAAAATTGCATTCTGAATTGCAGTAAAGGACACTGAACACTAAAAACAATTGGGTGACAAACTACTGTGCGTCACAGTGCGCTGTCAAAACTTGCTGCATTGTCTAATTTTTGGGTTACTGTGGTGCCTTAACGCAATGCTTTTTAGAGCGCCTTTGAGACACTGCAGGGGATCATCCTGGTGTGAATGGCCCTAATTGGGGGAGATGTGATCTCTCTGTATTAATACAAAATCGGTCCAGATAGTAAATTTGGTGCAAAGTTGTTCAGCTGAAGGTCACTGCAAATGACAAGGAGGCTCTCTTTGCATCTGGTGGAAAAGAGATTCAACCTCTGCAGACAGTAAGTTGTGGGAACGTGGAAGACTTCCAAAGGAGATAGTACTCTAATAATATCTATGTAGATTGTTGATCCAGGGGGTATCCGATTGCCCTAGGGGAGTTGATTACATAGTTAGTCAGGTTGTAAAAAAGACACAAGTCCATCGATTTAAACCTATAGAGATATGAAAAAGAAAAAAAAAAAAAGCTGAAACAGTACGCTATCCCCCCAATTGCCCACTGTTGATCCAGAGGAATGCAACACACCTCTCCCCCCAATAAAGCATGGTTCAATTTGCTCCAACAGGGGGGAAAAAATTCCTTCCTGATCCCATAAGGCAATCGGATATTCCCTGGATCAAAGATCTGATGCCTATTATATCCAAAATAACTCAATATCCAGTAATATTCTGTGCAATTAGGAATACATACAGATTTTTTTTAAAACAATTAACCGAGCTAGCAAGAACTGCTCCTGGGGGAGTCTATTCCACATCTTCACAGCTCTAACTGTTAAGAATCCTTTCCGTATGCTAAAGGTTAAACTTCTTTTCCTCCAGACGCAAAGAGTGCCCCTTTGTCCTTTGCAGTGACCTTGAAGTGAATAATTTGGCACCAAGCTCTTTATATGGACCATTTATGTATTTATTGATTGAATCACTTACAATTAGGCATGTACAGATATCAGTGCAGATACTTGGCATTTTCATGAGAACTACCAGGGTTGCAGTGGTTGCAGCTGGGACCTGACTCTGGTGCTCCACCACTGTCCTGAAATCATTAGTCTGTATTGTTTAAGGCCTGCTTCACACCTGAACGTTTTGTAGCGCGTTCAACGCTCGACGAACGCTCTACAAAACGCTCAAACATCTAAATCCCATTGTATTCAATGGGTCTGGTTCACACCTTGCCGTATTTCCTCCCGTCCGACGCGATACAAAACGGCCTACGCCCAAAGAAGTACATGTACTTCTTTGGGGCGTTTTGGTCTTGCGTTTCCATTGGGATACAGCCAAGTAGCCCTCGGAAACGGGCGTTTGTCGCGTGTTTTTTTTACTGCGAATCGCGGTAAAAACGCACGACAAACGTGCATATTCAACACGTCTAGGTGTGAACCCAGCCTTAGAAAAACTGTCACATGACAATAAACAAAAATGTATCAGTACTTGTGTCTGTAAGTACTTGGACAAATATCAGAACCTGTAAAAATGGTATCGGTGCATCCCTAATACACATTTATAAAGACAAAATCATACATTAAAACAGAGATGTACAAATCCCAGGAGCTCCGTGTGTTCCTTGCCAATGACAGCTGCCTCCTAACTTTTGATTTTTTCTCTAGTCTAGTCTCGGAGCTGGAAAAGTATCGGTACTTGTAGAGTACGGTACTTGTAGAGTACGGTACTTGTAGAGTACGGTACTTGTAGAGTACGGTACTTGCAGAGTACGGTACTTGCAGAGTACGGTACTTGTAGAGTACGGTACTTGCAGAGTACGGTACTTGTAGAGTACGGTACTTGGTATCTGAACATCCCTAGTTACAATGGATGCTGCTACGTCATGGCGTTTTTTTTCCTGCAGAATCAGTAGGTCTCGTGAACACTGGTCCTGATATCATATTCTAGGGTGACTCCTTTCCCTTGCAGGGTCCTAAGGAGCTACCCTTGTGTGTGCTAGTAAGCTGTGGGTGTCTCCACAAACACAGCTAGCCAAGCCTCCCTGATCCCCCTTTCTTCCTCCTCCCCTCTCCAAACTAGTAGACGGACAGTTGCTGGAGACTGTGCTGTCCCTTGTGATTTTGTACTGGACAGGAAGTTTAGAGAAGCTGAGCAGAGAGTCGGAGGCAGCTTTTTGAAAACATGGCACTTGGGCAAAAATGTAAAGACATCCTTTGCCGGGCAATATGATAGATTAATTATTGAAAAAAAAGGTGAGGCTAATGCTACTTTAACACAAAAGGTCAGATTGGGATTTGTATTTGGCAAACGCACAGAGCAGAAAATTGCAATGACACCTAACTAGCTGTCCCCTCCACTAATCTGAATCCAGAACAAGTATCTTCATATATTACTCATATTATTCGAACATGTCCAGAGAGAACAACAACCTCACCTTCCTTATCAGTGAGGACCTCCATACGTCCACTGAACATTGCCTTAAGCATGGTGTCATGTCTTGTCAGGACCTGCACTGTGGTGTAGTGCAACGAACCGCCCACATTCAGCCGAACATACTTGTTTCCTAGACAGCCCCCTTTAAAGCTGTAGGTTTTAGGCTTGGCCCCAGAGGCAGGGCACATTGCCGTCAGACAAGTGTCGCCAGACATCTCTCGCTGCAGGTAGACGATGACTCTGCACACAGTGGGCTTCACGTGTGCCGCCGTGGTGGGAGGGTACAAGAGGGAGACCAGTCCTAGCTAGCAGGAATCAGGACCCTGCTAACCTTTGAAAATATCTGCAAGTGGGAGAAAAGAAAAAAAAAAAAAAAGAAGAATTAAAACAGGATTGGTCAATAGAATAGCCAATGGAACAATCTTGACTGAGTATAACAACACAACTAAAGCATATTGGTGTCAAAACGGAAGATCTGCAGATAGACTACCCCTTATAATGGCCGCAGAGGGGAGGAAGGGTTGGGAATCTAACAAGGTTATTCACATAAAGGTGAAGAGTTTGGAGAAGGCAGAAGTGAACAATCTAGGCCAAAATAGTCGATTTGGAAGAATTCTCCAATTCAGCTCACTTTCCAGTTCAGCTATGTTGTCCTAGATTGTTCCCTTCTCCTGCATTCTCCAAACTCTTCACCCTTTAGTGAATAACCCTGAAAGTGATCACATCTTGTTGTAAGACTTCCTGACAGATACATGCTGGTGGCTGATCTATCCCATCACCATCTTGCCAAGTGTTCCTTTATATTCCTACATTAGGTAGACACAGTGAAGCCAGACACAATTAGACATGCAGCACTGTTTCAGTATGCAGTGACAGCTCTTCAGCCTGGATCAAACCAACATATTCTAAAACCCCCCGCTGTACATTCATAGAAATAAGGTTGTAAACGAGGACAGTCAATGAAATAGATGCTGTAAATTGTTCCTACATTAAAAGGCATAATCCACCGTTTCCAAATACGTATTAAATGCACAAACAAATAAAAGAAACAATGTGCATTTGATATTTTTTGCAATTTGAACCTGTAAAGCATTGTAACCCCTATCAGTGGATGGTGGGTGCAATGCTCAGACTTTCGCCCATGCCCAGGTGCGCACTGAGGTACTGACTTTCAGTTAAAGGAGAACTATAGGGTCAGGGTTTTTCCCCATAGTTCTCCTAAGGGTCAAGGGATGACACAAACTAGCGTCCTCCCCTGACCCAAAGCTCAGTATACCGCGAGCTACAGCTCACGGTATACTGAGAGGCCACAGCCGGAACGGATCCCGACATTACTGTTGTGATCCACCCAGCTGCATGATTGACAGCTGGCTCTGCCTATCTAGAGGCAGAGCCAGCTGTACCCGCCCTCTCCCCGTCCGTGCCACCAGTCAGCGCTGGAGGATCAGAGCAGGGAGGGGGGAATCCCTGCAGGGAGCCGTGAGTGACAGTCACGGCTCTCTGCAGGGAAATGATCGAGAAGTGAGCGAGCGACGGTATGTGTTCGCTCACTTCCCGATCTATTGAGCCGACCTGTGACAGTTTCATTGCCACATGTTGGCTCAAACTATGAGGCTGAGTGATTTTCACTCGCCTCATAGTTCTCCTTTAAGGGATGGGAAGAAGCATCAATAGACAGCAAGTGCAGTCCTGTCACCACACCTGTACTTCATTAAGACCTATGACTCCCTGTGCCGTGGTGGCAGATGGGACTTGAAGTCTCTCGTCACAGATCTTAGTACTAAATCTGTAAATGGTGATTCAAAAATAACGACAGGAGCTTGTAGTGGGAAGTATCCTGCGATTAGAGTAAAAACAGGTGTGTGTGGGGGGGGGTGGGGGGGAGGGGCTGTTAAATGTGACCATGTTATATGTAACATTAGCCATGGTCAGAAAAGTGACTGCTAAGGTTACATAGCAATCTGATTGAGCCAAAGCTTTTTTTTTTTCCTTGTTCAGACATCCTTTCCCAAGACATGCTAATGTGCAACCAAGTGGCCAAACGGGGAAACCGTTTCATGTCTCCTATCACAAGAGTAAGACGATTATTCCTAACTTTTGGTCAAGGTGGGCAAATCCATTTGGAATTCAGGAGCCAGTCTGTCCAATCCAGGAGGCAGCTGTCATTTTTCAGGAGCATTGGCTATCCGGCTCCTGGGATTTGTCTGGGCTTGCTTTAGGACAGTGGTTTGATCAATGCAAAGCATTCCTTTATGCCCCATCTGTATAGCCAGAACTGATAGTTTATAGCCCATATACAGTCCAATATTATAGATGCATCCATTTCAAACTGCATACTGCTGTTCCAGGCTTGTTGGCCATTTATCAGTGCAAGGCATGACATTTCCTCACAATAAACGGTTGGGTTACACTTTCTAAAAATGATGTTTTTACACTATATGGCCATTTATACCCGGTTGCCTTAAATAGAAACCCCTCCAACTTTCTCTGCTAGACACAAGAAATGGATTGTGAAGTTTCAGCTCCTTCAATACAATGTATTAGAGAGACATTTGCAGCCCAAGTGTCAAGGCTCAACAGCCTGTACAGAAGAAGCGATGTCATCTGCTTTCTCTGTAACCACATTTCCTCCATATTCTTGTGGGAGGGACCTCATTCTAAAATTAAGTTGTGGACATCCCCGTTCAGTTTTACCGGTCATCCTGTTTCCGACAATTTTATAGGAATGACTAAGATGACACAAAACAGAGATTACAGAGGAGAGAAGGATGATGTGTATCCATGTCACTGTGCTGAATCCTTATTACTTCAACATGTCATGCCCTGTTCCCACTGCGCGATATGCAAATTGCGCGTTTGTCGCGCGATTTGCATATTGCGCGACATCGCGAGATTTGCCGCGCGATGTCGCGTTCAAGCTTGCATTGAGCAAGCTTGAATCGCGGCTAAATCCGCTCCAAAAAGGGTCCTGCTGTAGCGACACACGACCCGCGACAGCAGGACCCTTTGCCCCATTGGATTGCATTGGAGCGCGATAATTTGCCGCGATATCGCGGGAATTACCGCGCGATAAAACGCTCAATGTGAACTGCGTCTTAGTACTTCCATCCACTGCTACAGCATAACCGAGTAATATCTACACCACCACACCTTCACTATAGATGAGAGATCATCATTGACCATTTCAATGTTTGCACCTCTATACCCCCACCACCCCATGCACCAAGCCAATGCTGACATGTAAGTTGTGGGCCTATTGGTTCAGCACAACCTCAGCAGTTACCTATCATACTAAAGTATCATGTCATTTTATATACTTGATGTCCAAACGTTTTAGTTTCCGACAGAATCAGCTGGTGAACCTGAGCACTGGCCCTGGTATCCTGTTTTAGGGTGGATCATTTCCCTTGCAGAGTCCTATAGAGACACCCTTGTGTGTGCTAGTAAGCGGTGTGTGTGTCTCCACAAACACACAGACACAGCAGGGCAACCCACTTCCCTCCTCGCTGCCCACTTCCCTTCTCCAACCTAGTAGATGGACGGCTGCTAGAGACTGCATTGTCCTTTGTGATCTTGTACTGGACAGGAAGTTCAGGAAAGCCGAACTGAGAGAGTTGGAGCTGTTTGAATATGTGATGACCGGAAGTGCTTAAGCAACATTTTATAGAAATGTGTTGGGCAATGTATATTTGTTTGACCTGGGTTCAAAAAGTGCGAGTAGAGCTGCAGCTAACGATTATTTTCAAAATCGATTAGTTAGCCGATTATTATCACCTTCTCCTCCTTACTACTTCTCCCCGCGTCCCTGTGCCGATCGTGGATGTGGGCGGGCGGTGAGCGTGAGGCGGGGAGGAGGTGCGGCGTGTGTAGCGTGGATGCGGGCGGGTCTGGCAGAGGTGCAACGTGTGTGGAGCTGTGGACAGGGGCACCTTATCAAAAGCCGATTAATCGATTATTGAAAAAGTTCACAACTTTTTCAATAATCGATTATAATCGATTACGTCGATTAGTTGTTGCAGCCCTAAGTGCGAGGGTCTAATACTACTTAGAAGAGAACTATGAGGTAAGTGTTTTTCCCCATAGTTCTCTTAAGGGTCACGGGAAGACATAAACTAGCGTCCTCCCATGATCCAAAGCTCAGTATATCGTGAGCTACAGCTCGTGGTATACTGAGAGCGCCGCAGCCGGGACGGATCCCGACAATGCTGTCGAGATCCACCCAACTGCGTGAATGACAGCGGTCTCTGCCTATCTAGAGGCAGAGCCAGCTGTGCCCACCCCCTCCCTTGTCCGTTCCCCCAGTCCAGGGATGGAAATCCCTGCGGGGAGCAATAACTGACAGTCACCGCTCTCTGCAGGGAGATGATAGAGAAGTGAGCGAGCGACAGTATGTGTTCGCTCACTTCCCGATCTATTGAGACGACGTGACAGTTTCTGCTGCACAATGTTGGGTATAGACCACAAATCACATGCCCAACATCACTCATCAGCGTAGTGGTTGCTGTCTTGTTCTTTAGCAACTAGTGAAGAGTTTGGGCTTGGTGGGAACTCCGTTCACCAGAATTCACCCAAGCCCGCTCAAAACTCTGACCGCCATCCCTTCCTCCTGACCCAATCAGTCTGGAAGGTTTTGGAGGGGGCGTTCCTGGCCCATTGTGATATATAGGGTGGGGAATGCACCACTCTGCAACTGACTGGGTCGTGGGGAGGGGGTGGCGGTCCAAGTTTGAGTGGGCTTGGGGGAACTTATATTACTAATAAGAATGAATATCCAGTTATACGATTATGTCCTCCTTGTAGAGTGTAAGCTCTCATCAGCAGGATCCTTTAATCCGTCTGTCTGTCATTGTATTGCCCCCATGTTGGAAAGCGCTGTTCAAACTGTTGGCGTTATATAAATCCTGTATTAAATTAATAATTCCTGGATATTCCTTTCCATAAGTAATAACACCAGATAGTGTCGATCCCTCAGGGAATCAGGAAGGATCCCCCCCCCCCCTGTTGGAGATAATTAGTCCACGATATATGATGGTTTTCGCGTTCCATGGGATCAGCCTTGGGTTCTGTATATGGAGGGTTTCTATTGGTTGAATTTGATGGACTTGTGTCTTCTTATAACCTGACTATGTAACATCACCGAATACCTTGGGTACTTATGATTCTGCCTAATGCTTTGTTATAAAAATTTTTGGGGCAGATATTATTGTTGATTTGTCCATTTTCTATATTTACAGTGTACACCGAGCCATTGACATCAGTCACTAGCCCAGAGGAGATGAATCGGTGAAATATAAAGCTTCTGTGATGTGTTATATCCCTGTGTGTATTCTAATGAACAACATGTCACCACAAAAGAAACATTATATACAAGAAGGATACCAGTGCTGTCCATTTTGTATCCCAGAGTTAGTGATTGAACTTCCCCAGAATGGTCATTAGACAGAACCAGGACATTTTAGCTAAGAGCCAGGTCAACTAAGCGCATGTATTCGGAGTGTGGGGGGAAAACAGAGCACCCAAAGTTCACATCCAAAAACGAGCAGAACATACAAACTCCATGCAGTCGCCATACTTAAAGTCCAGGACTCCAGTGCTGCAAGGCAGAGGTGCCAGCCTGCAGTGAACCCATATTATCAGCACTGCTATGAGATGTTCTGGACAGTGTGAACTCTCCACGCATCAGTGACAGGAAGTGTGCAGTGCTCAATACTGCACCCCTGTATTAGTCCATTCCCATCCGCTCTGAATGAGGACAATGCAATGCCTCTGTCTCTGGCTACCCATCTACAGCACTCTCACCTGCCTCCCGCTCCTCTGCTACCAGCAATCGGCTCCTACTCAGCTCTGCTCAGTCTCGCCCATCTTTCCCAGGCGCACTGATGTCATTTCCTGACCCGTTCCCTCAGTTACCAACCTGCGCACGCTTTGGACCGCCGCGGTGTTCTATGGGACTTGTAGTCCAGACCTCGCAGCGCCCTCCGTCGTCCTGTGACAGACAATGAGCAAGGTTCATTCACAAAGAACTACAACTCCCAGAACCAGTACTACGCCTACGAGAGGGTGGGTTAAGCACGAACATATCTCTTCAAGTTTGCCGAAGGAGCTTCACCGTCTTACTTTTGCATATCCAGATACTACACGTTTTTATGTATCAAGAAATGTTAACCGTACTGTTCCAGTAGAGGAGGAATAAAAGTATGGGTAACGTTCCCTGTTTAAAGATGGCTGCCGAATGACACTTCTTCCGTATTGTCTCTATGGAAGCATAACTGTATTACGAGAAGTGACGTCAGTAAACATTAGCCGGCTGTCTCCGTGGCAGCCGGGGCTGCAGGAGAGTGGAAGAGAGAAGCTCAGCAGCTGTGACAGCAGGTAATGTGAAGGCAGTGCGGGTATCCACTGTTGTTCCTTATAGAGCCATTACTGGGCCAGTCTGCTCCCTCCCCCCATAGTGTATTAGCCCCAGAGTGCCGGGCTATGGCTGAGCGAGGCTCTCCGTGTCCCCAGCCTGTACTGACTCTGAGCCGGTCTGGGACTTCTCCATCCACATGAAAAGGGTCCAGGGATCGCTTATATCCAGTGTGTCCTGAGCTCAGATAAGGGAAACATGTATCCATTCTCCTTTACACTCCCTATCTCTCTTTCAGGGCCCTTTCACACCATAAGGCACATAAAAACTCACTGCAATGCATCAGAAATGCATGTGTGTTTACATGCGTTAACATGTGTTTTCATTTGCATTGTGTTGCGTCTTTATGCATGCTGGCACGGGTTGCGGGACTTACTCACACGAGCCCACAGACTATATGATCCCTTATAGCATGTGGGGTAGTGTCTGTGTATGTGGGGGGCTTGCGTTCTTACAATGCAATGTTCACCTTATTTTAATTTAAATGTCCCACAGTGACATTTCATTCATTTCTTTGCAGTGTAGTGGAATTATGGTGTGTAGAAACTGATGGAGACTTGTGGTGCAAGAAAAATGCTGCATTTTTCCGCACCTCTTTGCTCCATTGGAGTGCTAATGGGGCATCGAAAACAATTGTTACAATCTCTTTATTGACCTTAAAGGACACTTAAAAAGAAGTCGGCATTGCCTCTCCCTCCAGGCTCCGGAGCCAAAACAATACAAGGAATTGAGTACGTAGTTCCTGATCACTATGTCGGGCCCCTCCAACGCTGGTGCTGTGTATAGTAGCTCCGGTTCCCTTAAAATGTATTTCCACTTTTGCAGCCAAATGGCATAAAACTTACCTTTTATATTTGTTACCTGTACCCATTCTCATAGCACAATTTCAAAATATGTAAAAACAATCTCTGCTTCCCTTTTTATAATAGTTTTTTTGTCCAAAACTGAAGTTATCC